GCTGAGATATCCGTCTTTTTTCTTTTTAATTGTGGTACTCTCATTGTTGACTCTGTATTAGAAAGTTCAAAATCTTTGTACACAGGAGATTGTTGTTTTCTTTTCCATTGAATCACCAGTAATCCAACATCTATATCTAACTGTTTGATGTCCTTTAATGTCAACTTTAACAAATAATTTACATGATATAGGTTTCCTTGTTTCCAGACTTATTAAGTAATAATAGTATTAGTAAATTTAAAAATTATCTTAAATCAACGATTAATGATTTCAATTACAAACCTTGTTCCCGAAAATCATTATCTATTTCAATTGATGATGCATCTATTTCTATTCTGGTCTGTGCATTTGCTTGATTTAACTAACAAAAAAAAAATTAATGACTGTGTATTAGTAAAAATGCAGATGTACATCATATAAAGGTGTAATAACTTATCTACCATAACTAAATCAATATCGTATACTGAAATCTCCCATGGACTTGTTGTTGTAATCTTTGCGACTAGAAGATATCTCTCAACTCTTTCCAAAGGATTTATCGAGCTTCCTTTACAAAATTCTTCGCTTTGTGGTGAAATATTAAATGAAAACGTGAACGGGGAAACAAAATGTATTCTAAGATCTTCCCTCTTTTCAATCCATCCTTGTGTTGGAGGCGGTGCAGATGGAACTGAACTAGTTGATGCATAATAAACTGTTAAATGAAGTGTCCGCGAAAAGTTTGATTTTTTTCCAAGGACATAAACCATCTTCACCACAGATTCTCCTGCCGGTAATATTCCTATATCAATGTCTTTTAAATTGTTAGAAGAATTTGTTGTGGGGTTTAATGTAATAAAATCTTCTGAATCTATCGAATTAGGTGGTGCATCTGTAACAACCTCCGCATTTAAAAATGCCTTGACTTCTTCTTGTTCCAAATTTACTATAGTAATTTCTATAGGATAGTGTTCGTCCAGTAATGCTGGAGCCGAGTGCTTAGCTTGTATATCTAACTTGGCAAGTTTTTGTATAACCCTAAGTTTAAAAACCAGTTAATTTTAGTATTATTAAAGGAAAAAAAGAATTTCCTTTTTCAATGGATAAATTTAATTACTTGATAGTAGTACGTTCTCCTATTCCATTTAAGATCGTATAAGTAGGCTTAATGACTAATACGAGTAAAATAATATTGTTCTGGTAAATTAATTTAGTAAAACACATTATAATTTCATTCGTATGAAAGTGTTATCATATACCTTCGCCTTCGGAATCCACTTCACCAATCACCCATTTACGTTTAGAACGTTCATCCTTTGCATTTTTCAAGTTACAATGAAGTTCAACCTTCCATTTTTCAGATAATAATCCAAAAGAAATAGTCTGAAGCTATAACATAAAATGTTATAAGCAAATATATATATTTATATATAACAATAAAAAATTTAATAATGAAATGAATTTACCTGTATATCCCCACTTTCCTTCGGTTCAATCAATCCTTCAAAGACTTTAGTAATACCTTTACTAATCTTCAAATTAACGTCCTTAACCCATACTAATCCTTCACCATCAACTTCCTCCTGTGAGCAATTTTTGCAATCCACCCATTCTAATTTTGCATTGTCTTCTTCATCATTACTTTTATCACGTAAATAATGGTTGAAATACGAGTCATTAAACGACAAGCGAAGAAAAGAGAATCGTAAAGGAATAGGTGGTGATTCAGCTTGGGTTGCGACTGTAATTTGAAAGGGGGTTTCGGCACCAATAAATGTTGTGTCGCCTTTAAATTGAACACGGCATGTTACTGACATTAAAAGTATTCTGTCAAGGTAAATATTTTGATCTAATTATCATTCATAAAACGCAAAAAGGATACTGAAAGAATTTATTTCATCCATGTCAATGGCAACTTTCCGAAGCTCGGGAAAATTGGCCTATAAATGTAAGATACATTATAAAATGTACTGTTTAATCCGGAACAGGACAGTTATTCATCACATACTTTAAAAAGTACATCCATAAGTTCATTATGAATTTCGGCTCGGTTTAGGTTTGACATGGAAAATTCTAAATGATCAAGAAGTTGACCGAAATAAATTATAAACCCTGTTATTTTTACATAATTCATTAATATATTCATGGACTTACGGTCCGATAAAAGTTCAACTAAATACTCTAGAACATTCTCCCAACCACCAAGTTCTTTAGCGCATTTTAAGGAACATCTCAAAATCGATTCCAGGATTGTATGCCAATTTTCTTTACGATATGTTTTGGCAATCCTTTCAAAAAACCTATTAAAATATTTATGAATAAATAACGTTTTCTCTTTGAAAAACTCCGAATCCTAAGTAAATTCATAATATACTTTAAAGCCGTTTCATATTTTCCAGCTTCCAAGTAAGTGTTGGCGATCTCAGATGCTAAATACAGCGTCATACGACCAGTTTTTTGTGCCTTAAATTGCTCATAACTCTTTGTAAACAATTCAATTGTCAATGTTGAGTGATCTACATTTCGCTCAGCTTCTAAGATATTTTGTGGTGGAATATTCTGGAGTTCAAGCCCCTCTTTTTTCATAAACTAAATAGAAATAAAAATACTTATAAGCTACTTAAAGAAAAAAAATTTTTTTAATTTTAAAATTAAAAAATCAAGAATACCATTTCTAAATCCAAAAATTTTTTTCTTCTAAATGAATTATATTTTGCTGCCATGTGATAATAAAATCCTGGGTGTTGAAGAATCATCGTTGGATTAATTCCAGAACCTGTATTAGGATTGTGTGATATACTAAATCTAAAATCCGATGATACCGTGTTATGAGAGATAGTTGCCGGATCCGGGATAACAAATCCAGATCTAGTGGCAATTTCTAGAACGTCACCAAAAATACGATACTGTTTCGATAACCATGCCCAATACTCAAACGTATCTTCACCGATACCCAGAGTGTCAGATATGTTCCTAAAAGTGGACACGTGTTTATTCAATTGAGCAAGCGCCCCAGAAGGGGAATCGATATAAAGGTTCAATTTACATATCTAAAAATATTAAAGTAAATGTTGAAGAATTTGAACTATAATTATATAAAGGTAAATATTAAAAGATTGCACAAACTTTCAGATTAATAGTATCAGCAAGAATTCTAGCTTCGCCCCAACGCTTACTACGAATCGGAAGTCCGATCGCGCCAGCTGTGATAGAAGACTGAGGCGCAAAAAGATCTACAAGAAGGTTATAAGCCAATTCGTAGTAGCTGCATAATGATTTCTCAATTAGTCAAAAAAACAATTGTGTACATATATATATATATATATTTTTTTTAAAAAAAAAAAAAAAAAAAAAAAACTTAAAAATCAAGGAACATTACTTAATAGCCGCCTCCATTTCTTGTCGAAATTCAGCAAAAGTTGCCAACTTGTAATCATATCGGATCATCCAACCTTGAACACCAAGAGGTTGTGGGATAGTCGAAGATCGCATAGAATTAGTACTAGAAGGGGAAGGTAACCTAGTTCGCTTCCTTTTTACTCGCTTGCCATGTTCTCGATAATAATTTAATCCATGTTCATAAAGGGATTTTTGCAGGCTTTTTCATTTGCCAGATCTCATTTTCAGTATTTGATCACGTAAAATGTGTTGCAAAGATGAACATATTTATAAATCATTATAATAAAAAACTAAAAAAAAATTCTACATACTTTATCACGAAATCTTGTAAATCTCCATGCTGAGATGGTGTTAGCAAAAAAAATGAATTTCTCGTATCTAATCCACTAAATCTTCGAATATATCCTAATCGTTCTTCCATCGTTTGATCTTTCATGTTTTGCGTTTTAAGTAAGATAACGGCCGAAAATTTAATACCTCTCTCATGTAAGGATTTTCTATAAAAGTCTTCACAAATCAGTCGAAATTCAAGAGATATTATATAAAATAAAAAAATTGATAATCGCATAACCAACCTCCTTTCATTCATCTCCATCGCCAAATTATAATCCTTTTCCCTTTCGATTGATTCTGCTGTGCCCTGGGGTTCCGGTGCTGGAATGATTTCTTCCTTTTCTTGTATAGGATCAGATGAAGACCGATGCCACAATTCATAAAAGCCTACAACAACGCTTGGTAAGATTTCTCGATGTTTCCTTACCCATATAGGAGGAATCAAACCATCAGGATAAACGGGAGATCCTTGTGTTAACGGGGAAAGAGGTGAATGTGCAATTGGCATATTTGGATGATGAGTTTGTGCTGGAGGTCTCATCATTGGTTTTCGAGGAGGAAATTGATGGTTCTATAAAATCATATTATTAAATGTTTGAAATATGAGGAATTTTAAATTTTTTTAATTTTTTTTTTTTTAAAAAAAAAAAAAAACTAAAAGTTATGATTTCAATCGCATTATAAATAACACAAGACTTTATTTCATTTGAATATACATTTGATTTATAACGAATCGAATCGCAATTTATTTCCTAATTACAATGAAATACTCTTAAATGTTTTAAATTCGATTTCTATCAAATAAAATCAACAGACCTTGTCTACAGCAACAACGTGAAAGGTTGCACTCGCACTTTTACCAAGCTCCCAAACGCCAACTTGACTTTTTGCAGTTAAATGTGTTAATAAAGACTTTGAAAGCTGTTGCCTTGGTGTTGAATTCGCACTCAATGAGCTTCTTCGCGATTGAGGTTTAGAGCTAACGGGAGAACTTGTCGCAGAATCAGCTGTAAAGGTGGGCTGTTCAACCAAGTCTCTCGCTGTGCCTAGACCGATTACAGCCATTAAAGGAACATGGTGTAAAATGAACTCTGGAGGATAATTATCCATAGTAGAATTCGCGAAAAAAAAAACTAAAAAGCAACAAGAATTGAATTTCTACCATTAAATCAAATATGATTCGTCACGTGATATAAATTTGTCATATACTGCGTGTGGTCTGTCAAAGTTTTATATTCCATATAGCATTGCATACATTATTAGAATATTTAATAAATTATTTTATTCATTTAAAATTTCACAATTTTCTTTTTAAATTTATTCTTTCCAGATTTGATAGTATTCAATTTCTCTTCAGACATTTCTAGAACCTGAATATGAAAATCATCATCATCAGCACCATGTTGCAGATCCAATTTGCCTACTACAACGGAGGTTCCAATAGCTACATATAAAAAGAGAAAAGATTAGAAGAAAATAATCAAGTAATTACTTGCGAGATGAATTTCAGTTAAATTACCTTGATTTTTCAATGTACAATCTTTAGCTAAATGAGTTACTTGACTACAGAATCTACATGTACCACCGTTAGGATATAATCCTCTTTCGTTCTTTAGACATTGTCTAGAAAGATGTCCTTGCTCATTACAAATAAAACATTTTGCATAAAGGTATTCATCACCTAGAAAAACGTAAAAAGAATAGCAACTTTAATGAATCGAATGAATCGTCTTACAAAATATATTAATATAATATAAACCTCGTTTAATCGGTTTTTTGCAATCTTTGGCAATATGTTCGGTTGAACTGCAATTATAGCACATGCCTACACCTTGTTCTTTTGCTTCTGGACAGTCCTTAACGCTATGACCTTTCTTCCTACATCCAAAACATATCTGTATGGACAAGACGTTAATTCTTAGCTTTTTTTTTTAAGATGATTATGACCGAAAAAGAAATTCAATAGTCTAATCGTACAGTTTTGTTTTGCCGTTCTTTTATTCTTCTCTGTCTACGTTTTTCTGACCTTTTCGATTTAATTTCTGAACAAACAAATGAATTAAGTATTATCCTTATAATGTTACAAACGCGCTTTAAAAATGGTTATAGTACCAGTATCTTCGGTTTTCTTTATCTTTTCTTTATTTAATTTTAATTTCTTTTTAGAATTCTTTTCCAATTTAGAGTTGACCTCAAGCTTTTCTTCTCGAAACTTTCTTTTGTTTTTCTGTTCTTTTATTTTAGAATCGTCTTGTTCGACTTCTTTATCTGGTTGAAGTGGCTTAATGTTAAATCCGGCAGCTTTTTCATACTTTTTCTTTTCTAATTTAGTATATCTTGTCATGATATTAATGTATTAAAGTTTTTTTTTCTTTAAGATGTTAAAACTATCTTCAAATTAAAAAAAAAGTTCGTGTGACCGATCATCACCCGTGTCACGCTTTTGTTGGTCGTTAACTAGTAATTTTTTTTTAATCTTTCGTCACTAAGAAAGTTAGAAAGTTTAGGTGGCTTACCTTAACGTAGGTTTTGTCTTTAGCCTAAAGGGCAGATGAGCACAACCCAATATAACCAATAAGAATTTTTCGGGGAAATACTTCAACGATATCTTTTTATTTCAAAGGATTCTCCCTTTTTTGACTAGTATATCGCATAATTGAAAGGAGGATTATAAATGTAAGAATTGATATAGGTTATGTATACGAATGAGTATCTTTGGCTAAAACCTTTTTACGAAGTTGTTAAGTATGATTATCACGTGTATTATTAAAAGAACTGAATTTTAATTATATATGAATGAAAATATTAAAATTAGTAATCCCTTAATAAAGTGGTCGAAAGAATGAAATCAATTCTATTTAAAGTAAAATATCATGCTCATATTTTAGTGATATACATTTCGAAAAAAATGATAAAAATTTAAAGCAAATAAGGGCATTAGGCATAAGAAGTAAGCTTAAATAACCTGAAGATCGGATGGATTGTAATACATCATTAATAATCTATACTAAGCTTTGCTAATAACAACATCATAATTTTTTGCAAGATAATTCACAGTTTTCTTGTGTAATTAGTTCCTCAGGTTCCGGATCCTTCTAAAAATTCTTGAGATTGCTTTATCAATTCTCTCAGCCTTCTTTTTCTTTCTCTTAGAACTTGAGTTCTTAAGCTTGTCCCTTAACGAACTTAGTTTGTCTGCATGCAAGCAAAGTCTCACCAACCTCTGCGAATCATTCTTACCAACCTCTGTGATTCCTTTTGTAGGTGAATGGAGTTCGAACTCCTGGATCGATAGCCACAAACCTTTCATGTGTTTCTTTTGATTTTTTTTGTCTTTTATATACCCACGATAAGATCTATTCATTAGTTTTTCTAAAGTATGTGAGCTTGCAATCATGATTGATCTGTTCTGATAGCCAACTGTTATTTTTTCTCTTGATCTCAAAATGCAAAGCTCCTAGATTTCTTGATCCTTTCAGGTGATCATATGGTTTCTTCCTTGGTGTTCTCATATAATCAGTATTTTTGAATAGGTATGATATGTAAATTTATTCCAATATTTTTTTGAGAAATTTTGTGCATGTATGGTGATGGTATGCTTTAGGTCTTTTCTGGTCTTAAACTTCAATCTGGTTTTGTTATCTTTTGAATTGAAATTTTTAACAGCTTCATCCACAGTTTCATCAATTAAGTTATTTGGCATATTATCATAGGCTTTCTTACTCCTCAATTTTAAATACACGATCCTTCTCAGGAATTTTATATTTAGAAAATTTATCATCTTCTTACATTTATTTCCATTTTTATCTACATGTACAATTAAAAACCGTCTTTTCTGCAGATAGTCAATAATTATATTATAGGTTAATCTTGATAGTCCTATCCATCGCTTCATTATACATTTTTGTGCAAGGTTTGGATACAATTTCACTTTCAATATTCTATTCACATTTTCGTCCTTTTTTCTTCGTTTATTTTTTCTCATTATTAATATTTTCTTTCTTTTCTTTTCTTTTTCTTCTGTATTTGGCTACTCTTCTTCCTTACAATCTGCAGATAAAGACATTGATAGCAAGGATATCTTTGGACAGCTCATGTCTGTCAGTTGTTGAATTGTCAAAAGAATCACGAGTTTTGTAAAGTTGAGTGAAAATTTGTACTTGAGGAATTTGTAGGTGAATCTGCATAATCGATTATAGTGGATAGCCATAATCTCTCTAATAAGACCTTTGTATAATTGTTTCAGTAGGGTTTACAGTCCTTTGTATTTAAAGTTAATTCTTGATCTGATATCATTAATGAGTTTATAGGTTGAAAACCAGAAAATGAGGAGTTACTTCTGCCACTCAAGGTCCTCTTTTTGTTTGACACTAGAGATCTGAGCATAGAGAAATCCTTTTTGGTGATGGTAGAGGTAATAGTGGTGATGGTGGTAGTGAAATTTGAGACATCATAAAGTTGCATACCATCTGGTGAATGAAATGTTGTTATTTTACTGTTGTGGTGTTAGCGACAAAGTGTATGCAAGAAAACACTAAGGATAAAAGAAGTCTGAGTGGCAGTTATGAATATTAAATGAAAAAAAAACTTAAATATTTTGCGAAAGGTTAAGCTTTTTGAAAGTTTAAGCATTTTGAAAGTTTATTTGCAAATGGAATGCAATAATATTAATAATCTTACCAGGAATGCAACATATGACAAACGACATGATAATTATTTCAAATACCCTTCACAATAGGATCAAGTATGTTTTCCATATTTAAATCAACTCCTACAATATGTTCTGCTGCAAATTTCTTCTATTAAAAAAAGACTCATTGATTAAATATTCGTTTATATAATAGTATAATATAATAATATGTTTTGATCATTTCGCGTACACAAAATTCTAAATTAAAACGTTCTTTGAATAATAATGATTAAATTCATCTGTAAAGCAACAATAGTATCCTGAGCATTAAATCCTTCATTTTGTGATAAAACTTTAGAAATTATCAACATTGCATTTGTAAATGCTTGAACTTCCATTTTGGCTTCCCTTTAACTGAACTTTTAAATTTATTCAAGTGAACTAAAAGCTCAGCTTGAAATACTCCTACTTCTGGTACTATACATTTATCTTCAATTGCATTTTTTACAGTTCGTAATCCATCACAAATGGCATTATTAATTTGCACAATTGTGTGAGAATTAGGTCTTTTAACCAATATTGTAACAGATTTTAGATTTTTAACCTCTTCAAAAAAGATATATTTTTCTTCTCCAAGAGTGTGCTCATAAATAAGACCTGCATATTTGAGAACTTTTGAAGACAAATTGTTTACAGAATTTTGTGTGACTCTTTCACAAATAAGTTGTAATCTAAAAAAAATAATTTTGCATCAAAAAAAATAAAATAAATAAAAAAATACATGATACAATAAATTACCTTTCCATATTTCTTTTCTTGGTACATCTTAATGCAAGAATTTTATTTTTACAGAGAAGATCTAATAACAAAGAATCAATTTCCTTTTGATTAATGACAACAAATCCATTATTGATATCCCTATATACTTGTTTTTTAAATTCAACAATTTTTTTTACTTTTTCATCTGTAAATTTATGCTCTAATTCTACAAGTTTTTCTCATTGCTTAGCAGATAAATAAAAAAATCCTGAATTTATTTTACTATAAAAACAAAAAAATATATATATATTATTCAAGAATTTTTCAATCTTATTTGTAACCAGTAATATAAGAGGAATTAAAAAAAAAATTTTTTTACTACTGAATAAATTCTATTCCAGAATACATAAAACACAGTTTTATAAAAGGTATTAAAACTTTTCATGATATTAATACCTTGGAGGGGAAAATTTTATTAGATAGGTAAGCTTCACATAACTATAAAAAGTCGAGCTCATTAAAAAACTATAAATTTTTTTTCAAAAAAAAGCATTATATATGTCATCTTTGTTGACCATAGTATGTCGTTTTACTGTATTTTTCATTATACATTAACCTTTTTTAGAGTTAAAGGTATTATATAAAGTTTGAAATACTATATTTAAGTTAGAAAGTATTTCCTAACACAAAACATCAAACGAAGGAATTAAAGACGATTTCACATAATAGTATATTATGGTATATATGAGCAATGAGAAAACTAAGGGAAACAAAAGATTTTTTGAACACTTTAAATGTTGCTAAAACATCATTGGCAAAATTGATTAATGATCATTGCAAATTTTCTTCGATAACAATTTCTTCTAAGGTCTTATTAATAAACAATTCTTTAATAATCGACTTTTCTATTTTTTTTTACAATGTAGATTGTAAACATTATAAAGATTGTTCATTGAACTAATTTCATATATTGACTGAAAATCTTTTTCATTACCAACATTACCATTCTTTTTAACCATTTATATCTAACTCAAGTGGGACACTGTTATCTACATAATCCATTAACAGCAATATGCAATGCCATTGTATCTTTAAATTTATTACCAGATGCTTTATAATGATATTCCTCTTAGATCCTTGTATGATCAAATGAAACATTATGACTGATTATTATTTTGTCTTTTCCTATTGGTATTGAACTACCAATTTCGTGATCTCTAATAAGGTTTAAGTTATCTACTTCATTCTCATTTTCTATACTCTTAAGCAGTGTTATCCATTTTCCATGTCCCAAGCATTTTAAGACTGTCCCATACTATGTTTCAAGCTATCCCACATTATGACCTAATTGTCCTAAACTCATCTGAGACATGTCCCAGCACAATACTGCTCTCAAGACCCTTATTCTCTTTCTTTTTCCTAGCAGTAGGTTTTTTTTATTTTTTTTCCAATAATACTTTTATTATTTGCTGAATTTTGATTATTCTGATCTGAAATATCATTTATTTCAAATTTCTTAGTTAGCGACGCATTTGAAATAAATAAAAAAGCAAAGACGCGACTTACATTATGCTTTACAAAGAAAAAGTTGTTTAGAAAATTTTACTACTGATTAAACGAAGCAAGTGAAATAACTTCTTTAGAAGTACAAATTAAGAAGAAAAAAAAACGTTGACTATTCCTCTTTTTTTTAAGAAAAATCAATTTTTCATTATTTAATATTTCTTTGAAGCCGATATTGGAACTCAATGTTATTTGCAACAAAAGGTTAGCTGACTCAAGAATAGCATCCAAAGACATTCTTATTTTTTTTATTTTATTTTATAGAAAGATAAAAATACAACTATGAAATTCTTATTGTAAAATGATCAAGGTATACAAACAGCTATATATATATATATGTTATGTATTTAACACTACTATTATAATATATTTTTACTATATTCATATACAAGTGTTCAAAATGTTTAAATGTTTTTTACAAATATTACCGACCAATGATTTATGCTAAGGCTTTCATTATCCTTAGCAAATTCGATAGTTCTACAGATTATACTGCTTATTCCTTCTTCATCATAATGTAACCTAAAATTATTATCAATATTTTCTACAGGTTTTCAACTTCAATTTTTAAAATTGATCGTTTGGGTTGATATTTCCCCATTTGATTATTGTTTAATAGAAATGATAGAAATTTGGAAATCTTGATTGTTAATAAATTTCATTAGAAAGAAAAATTTTTTTCCTTTAGATATTTGAGCGGCTCTTCTTCCTTGCATTCAACAGATAAAGATTGTGTTGATTGCAAGGATATCTTGGGAAAGTTCATGTTTATCAGAGGTCGCATCGTTGAAGAGAACCACGAGTTTTGTAGTATGAAAGGAGAGTATATACTGGATGAGGTTGAAGGCAAACTGACAGAGTCAATCATGGTGGGTAACCACAATTTCTGAGACCATTCCACGACTTGTCCATTCCAATAAGGTCTTAAGTCTTGGTCTCTTGAAGTTGACACCCGATCCAATATCGCTGATGAGTTCATAGTTTGGGTATCAGGATCTGAGGAGTTGTTTCTGCCATTCAAGATCCTCTTTTTGCTTGACACTAAAGACCCGAGCATAGAGGAATCCTTTTTTGGTGGCGGCGGCGGTGGTGTAATCGACATTTTGGGAAGTCAACTCTGGAAAAATGGAAGATTTGTCGTAAAGGCGAGTACCAGAAGGAGTTGTTTTAGCAATAATTCTTCCTTGCTTTAGCCAACAACGTAAGGTATCTGACGAGATTCCAAGTTTTCTAGTTGCCTTGTGTGCAGACAAATACATGGAGGAGAGAGTTTGAGTTTACGATTTTGAACGATTTTTGAGTCTTATATGGGTAGATTGCTAGGAAAATCAGGTTCCGGGAATTTTTTAGCAAAATTGAGATTTTTATTGCATTTTTAGTTTTTGATGTAATTAGATTAAAATGTATTAAGCTCTTAATTTTAGTCAAAAATTTCTCGGAACCTGATTTTCCTAGAAACACTCCCATATGATTTTCATTGATAACGATATTACGATAAGCAATACTAAGCAATTATTGGCAACTGTATTAATAAACAAAAATTTGCTACGGTACAAACCAAAGATCCAAAAAAGTGGGGAAATTCCACTATTTGATTAGTAAGCAATGATGTAAATAAAGATTTATTTAAAGTAGGTGAACAGTTGATTAAAAGTTAGAACTAGAATTAATGTCCAAATAAAGTTACTTGATCATCCATACATTTTATTATACAAAAAAAAAATTTTTTTTTTATCCACCGAATTAGTATCAAACTTAAATGGTTCATGATCGATAAATCTGTTTTGTTATAAAAGGAACTCATTTTTTTATTAAAAAAATTTCAATCAAACCCAAAAATGTTTACAACTCGATTACTAAGATTCTCAAGATTTTATTCTAGCGTTTCCTCATCCCTTAAGGTAGTAATGAACGTTAATTTTATAATCGAATTTTAAACTTAATTTTTTTTTTAAAAAAAAAAAAAACCAAATTTTTCGTAATTTTCAAGACAGTGGATGGCTTTGTTGGCGCGATAGGAAATACTCCTTTGGTAGGTAAAAATTCATTAATATATGCTTAATGATTTCTAATCACATTCATCGTATAATTACTAATAACTTAATTTCAGATACGACTAAATGGAGTAAGTAAAGAAACAGGATCAGAAATTTTTGGAAAAGCCGAATTTATGAATCCTGGTGGCTCGGTAAAAGATCGTGCTGCTTTATTTGTGGTTAAAGATGCGGAGGAGAAAGGTCTATAATATACTTGAATATGTGATTATATCGAATATAATAAATCGTTTAATGATAACCAATGTTTATTTTCTTTATAGGTCTACTCAAGCCAGGCGGTACTGTTGTGGAAGGTACAGCTGGTAAGGATTTTACATCTATATAACTTTTATTATCCATTCAAAGTAGATATATGCTAATTGATTCATTTACGTTATTAGGTAACACGGGTATAGGGCTTGCTCATGTTTGTAGATCAAGAGGATATAATTGCGTGATTTACATGCCAAACACTCAAAGTCAAGAAAAAATTGACCTACTTCGAATGTTGGGTAAGACTTACTATAATCTCTCTTGAGTATACATTAAGATGGTTAACTATAATTTATATTTAGGAGCGGAAGTTTATCCAGTTCCAGCAGTCGCTTTTGAGAATCCAGAAAATTATAATCATCAAGCCCGACGACATGCAGAAAAAACCTCGAATGCTGTTTGGACGAATCAGTTTGATAATATTGCAAATCGACGCTCTCACTTAGAAACCACTGGACCAGAAATTTGGGAACAAACCGATGGCCTTGTAGACGGATTCACGTGCGCTACCGGTACTGGTGGCACTCTTGCAGGTGTTACTCGCTTCTTGAAAGAAAAGAATCAAAAGGTTAAATCATTCATTGCTGACCCCCCGGGTTCCGTCTTATATAGTTACTTCAAGAGTGGCGGAAAGTTAACGGAGCGTTCAGGAAGCTCGATAACCGAAGGAATAGGTCAGGGGCGCGTGACCACCAATCTTCAGCAAGATTTGGATTTGATTGATGATGCATTATATATTTCGGATGAGAAATCTATCGAAATGGTGTACAGAATGCTGGATGAGGAAGGTCTCTACATGGGCGCATCGACAGCATTAAATGTTGTAGCTGCGGTCGAGATGGCCAAAATACTAGGTCCAGGTATTTGGTTTTTCCATTACATTATAGGAAGTAAATTTCATGTATCTGACACGTAAATAACCAATTTTGTAATAATTAGGTAAGAAAATTGTAACCATCCTTTGTGATGGTGCATATAGATATCAAACGCGGTTATTTAGTAAGTTGAAATTGTTATGTGTCAACTTTTGAATGTGTTTAATGTTAAATAATCTCTATTTTATTTCAGGTCGAAAATGGTTAGAAAGTAAGGGACTCCTCCACGCAATTCCAGAACATTTACAAAAATATATTGTGTTGCCTTAAAAA